ATGGGCTATGAAAGTGCCAAGCATTTGTTGTACCAAGTGTTATACAACATAAATCAAGATTAGTCATTTAACAAGCAAAGTATTAAAGAGTGAACAAGATAACAAATATAAAACATGTTAGTATCAAACATTAAAGTCCATATTAAGTTTACATTATACTTATTCTCACACCATTAGTGTAACCTTTTCACCTTGACATAACTAACTTAGCTAGACATAATGAAAGAAAGCAAAATAGATAAACAAAATAAGAACATAAAAGTAAGATAACAAATATAAAACATGTTAGTATCAAATATTAAAGTCCATATTAAGTTTACATTATACTTATTCTTACACCATTAGTGTAACCTTCTCACCTTGACATAACTAACTTAGCTAGACATAATTAAAGAAAGAAAAATAGATAAACAAAATAAGAACATAAAAGCTAACTAAGTAAAGGAAAGGAAATGAAAGGCATAAACTTAATATTAATGAAAGCAAAGCATAAACATTACAAAAAATACAAAGAGAGAAAGGAAGAGCATGATCTTGATCTGGAAACCAAGATGCCTAAATGCATGGCAAATGCCTCCTTTTATAGGCCAAAATTGGGAACTATTGATTTGATGACTAATTGATAAGTGGGTGGCCAACTTTTGACTTGGTGACAATCTTTATCTTCTCTTGTCTGCCCAAAACGTCATTGATAACGTCAAAACTGGAGCCAGTTGTAAACATGAAAGTTGTAGGAAATTGTCTTGGGAACTATTGATTTGATGACTAATTGATAAGTGGGTGGCCAACTTTTGACTTGGTGACAATCCTTATCTTCTCTTGTCTGCCCAAAAAGTCATTGATAACGTCAAAACTGGAGCCCGTTGCAAACATGAAAGTTGTAGGCAATTGTCTCAGCTTTCTTGTGTAAAAACTTCAGCTCATTTGGACTTCTAGAACTCCAGATATGGCCAAAATACCGAACAGTGCTCGGGCTGGAAGACAGATTCGGGCTTCTTTGTTGTTGCTACAATTTGGACTTGATAATGGCCTTTTTAGATCTTGGGCTCCATATGAAAGTTGTAGGCCTATGTCTTACCTTTCCATCCATATAAATTGGACCTAAATCTGAGATATATAGCTCTAGATATGACCCAATTACCGAACAGTGTTCCAGTTTGGATTGCACCGACATCTCTTTTCTAAGTTTGGCCATCTCTTTATCCTTGCAATTTAAGTTCTTCAAGTCATCAATCAATCCTTTCATTTATGTGATAGGCCTACATTAAAAATAGACATTTACCACAAATTATAGGTATCTTATATTATTAGATATATTATTATAAAACATATTTTAGTTAAGGAGTTATTGATACTTCAAGTGCAAAATGATAATATAAAACCATGATAAAAATGCACTTTTAAGTACTAATCAATTATACAACACTTTTGAAAGGCTTTTTTTTGATAAAATATGCATGTATATGGCTTTGCAGTGCTTGTTTTAGTCCATAATTTTATTTTATTTTAATATAGAAGTCTTCTTCACCTTGCCTTGTTGTACAAAGCCTAGAAGTTCATCTATAAACACCTTGCAACTGGTTCAAATATTTTTTTTTATAATCAATACCGTATTCTTGTTTGTATCCCTTAAATATTAAATGTACCTTACACTTTTTGACCTCACTTTTCTCATTTAGTTTGGTTTTAAAAACCCATTTCACACAACTTTTATTCTATTTTGATGGTATAATTAATAGATTTGATTTCATAAAAAAAAAATAAACCTTATGTTTATAAAAAATTAGTGAAAGTGGTGTTGTTTTCTTAATAATTTATATAGATAACATATTATTGTTACGAAATGACATATCTTTACTTTAATCAGCAAAATTTTAGTTATCCAAGAATTTCTCCATAAATTAATTGAGAGAAACAACCTATATATTAGATATAGAGATCCATAGAGATAGATCTAAAAGATTGCTTAGATGATCTCAATCCATACATATAAACTAAATGCTAAAATAACTTAGTATGAAGAAATCTATGATTGGATTCTTATCTATTTTACATGGAACACCTCCCTCCAAAGATATTTGTTCTAAGAAATAGATTTTAAAAAATAAATATATGATGGAAATGGTATCTTATATTTAGCTATAAGATCCATCAATAAAGAAAGATATACTAAAAGTTTAAAATTAACTTAAATCCATTTTAAAAAGCTTATTTGTTTTTTATATGGGATAAATTCTCTAAAAGGTTATGAATTTCTCCAAATTATGTTAACCAATGAGTTTTTGAGATCAATCCTCTATTTATCTATAACTTATTTATATGATATTGATATTTCATATTAAAGAGTTTATGTTAGAGATTTAATTTTAATAAAATTCTAACTCCAAAAAAAATTGTACTTCATTTTTAATATGATCTCAAATATTTCAATTAACAATCATTTTAAACAAAATTACAATAATATGATCACATATGGATGAGACAAATAAATGCTAAGATCACGAAGAAATAAAGAAAGCCGTGTGCTTTTAATTATATTAATGATCAAGGCATAATATTCTACTTTATCATTTAATTTAAATAATTGTGGATTGTTTTTTGCAGTCCAATATATTAAACTAGAAAATAAACAAAAAAATATATATAATATAGGACAAGTGACCCAATTAGAATAAAAACAAGCATATAAATTAAATTAAAATTCTTTCAATAAATGCATGTCAAAAATCAAATATACCACAAACATATCTAAAAATACATTTAACAAGTTGCGTACGTACGTTCGTTTGTAGGATTGTGTATACTAACAAGTGGACACCTTTTTGTATGTCTTTTATGTGTTGTGTGTGTATGTGTACATTCATTTTTCATCAAACTTCAAGCGAGATAATTATTTGCAATAACACTAATGCAAGCATCGGTCCTTACAATAATGCAAGAGTATATCCTTTATTGTTGAGATCATGTCTCCAATAAAATATATAAAAGTTTTATATTATATTAGAATATGTTAAACAATTTTTATCAAAACAAGTTATAAAAAGAAAATTAACTATATAATCACAAATATTTTTAAAATATAAAACAAGTACGTGTAAGGGCTTTTGAACACAAATAAAACTACTAATTAATAGACTGGTCAAGATATCAAGAGTTAGATCTTGTTTAGTATTGTAGTTGTAATTACTTTTTAAAATATTTTTTCTTGAAAAAATATCAAAATAATACTTTTTATTTTTTAAAATTCATTTTATACCAACATATTAAAACAATATGAAAATACTAAAAAAATTAATTTAAAGCAAAGAAAAAAAATCTTTCAATTTTTTTAAAATATTTTTAAAATGCAAAAAAAAAAAATATCTTTCATTTTTAATTTTTTTTAAATACAAAAATAAATAGGCTATTAATGTTGAAGCTTATATAATCAATTGTTCACCAATTAAGAAAAATAAATGCAAGTAAATAGACATGCGGGAAGAAGAGCAAGTAGTGCTAGGTGAGTGGTCAAAGTACAAAGAATTGAGCTATGAGATTTACATGGTGTGAGAGTATGAGAGTTTTGAGAGAAGTTTTGATTAGCAAAAGATTAGAGACTTAGCAAAATGTTCAAAAATTAAAAGGTCAAAGATGATTAAGATTTATCATATTAAAGGACCTTGTTGAGATGGGCCGGCTTTGAAGATTAAGATTTATTATATTAAAAGAATTTATATTGTTATTGATTATGATTTCGTACTTAGAGAGAGGCAAACTTAACCCTAATCCTCTCTCTTTTTCTTGAATGTGGACAAGTATTGTAGTAGTAAGGAGTAACAACATCATAATCCCCAACAAGCCAGAATTAATTAGGACAGTTAAAGCCATGGAACGGAAAAGACCACTTTCCACATTTCAATGAACACCACACAGAAAAGAATAGGCAGAGTTACACTCCTCTTTTTACGCATTGTCTGTCTCCTTTGCATTGGGATACGAAACGAATCACAATCATTTGATTAACATAAACAAAACAAAAGGAGATGAAGGGAAAGTTCGATCAAGAAAGAAAAAAGAACAAAGAAAATCTAATGTAATCTACTATTTATTCTTGTACTTTTATTGTCTCGTGACATGACCAAGTTACATGCAAGTCTCCTTAAAGTACAACGTGTGCATTGTTACCTTCACGTCTCTATGTCTCTATCAGGTGGCTTCTTTTCCTTTTTCTTTTTTATTAGTGAATCTATTATTTGGATGTTTGCTTATTTGATGATCGCATTGCATGTCAATTGTTTATTGAACATACCTGCGTTGTGCTGTCAGTTTGTTTTAATTTCGTATAAAAGCATGATCTTTTAGCTCATCCATCTTATATATATGTAGTAATTCAGTTTGTTTCCCCTCTTTCTTCTTTTTTATAGCAATCCTGATTTGTATTTAATGTCTGCTTCAAATTCTTAGCTAAGGTTTTCAATGGGGGGTGATTCTGGCTCATACTGCATGGATTTCATATCTTCCTTTTGTTGTGAATTTCTCGGGTAATCATTTTCCTTGGAGGTCTTAGAGTATAGTTTTAATGAGTAAATTCATAATCTGAAGCCTGTCCTCTTCTTTTAACTTTCCCAATTTTCTCCTAATGCTGAAATGAGTCCTGAATGTGGAAATAATCTCTGCTGTCGTAGAGTATCTGGTGTCTGCATATATTTGTTCTTATAGCTAAAACTCCTATGCAATACTCTGTTTGATTTGATGATATTAAATTGCATTGCAGATTTGCAATTTCTTCTAATGGTTAAAGGGATTTTTCTTCTGACAGTTAAATTTAAGTTCCTGTAAAGTAATTTCACATTACTCAGGAAAAATGCCTAGAGTTCTAATGCATTATTGTGTGTTTCTTTATCATTTTAGATAAATCAGTCTCATGGTTGCTGTATTTAACCACTTTTCAGGATTGCTTTGGGAATTTGTGTGGAATTATACATACGCCATGCTTTGATAATCGACTTCAAAGGTCAACAATGAATTCAGCTTCGGATAACCTCATAGCACAATACAGGAGAGTCCATAGCTCAAGGATATCTGGTGGTTCGGAAGTTTTCGACCCAACTGTAATTTATAACAAAGACATTGAATGTAAGTGAAAATCTTATTTTCCTTTTATCTGCAGTTGTTTTCTTATTCATCTGAAGAATTTCTTATCCCTTTTCCCTTCCCTTTTTGCCGTCTCAAGCCAATCAGCGAGCGATATTGGTGGAGTGGATGAATAGTACTGTTCCTAGTTTAAATTTTCCAGTAAAAGCCTCGTCCGAGCAGTTGAGGACCTGTTTGATTGATGGGACTGTTCTACTACAGATTTTAAATAGGCTTAGACCTGGCTTTTCGTACAAGGTTGCTTATTTGTTATGGTATTTATGTTTGAGTTACTTAAGATTAGGCGTTTGGTTAGTTGATTTGATAGTGCATTTTCTATTTTAGGAAGGTAGTTCTCGCTCAGAAAATGTTAAGAAGTTTCTGGCATGCATGGATGAGTTGGGAATTCTCAAGTTCGAACTGTCGGACCTGGAGACGGTAATCCAATGTTTGTCTGCTTTATTGTTCCACATAAATTAATTTTATGCATAAGAACATATTTGATTGCTAAGTTAGAAGCAAGTTTATAATTATGCTTTCCTGCTACCAAAATGTTTATTATTTTATCAGATTGCATGCATCACCAGAATTTTGGTTTACAATGATATTGCTGTCAACTAGAGCCAATCTATGTCACTTGTTGGTCTGCGCACATCAAGTTTTTTTATTATTCTTCCAGCTTCTCTCTCTCTGTCTCTCCATCCACTGTGTTTCAAATCTGTAGGGATCCATGAAGAATGTTATGGATTGCCTTTCAACACTTCGAGCACAATTTGCATATTTGGGAGGTAATCTCTCACCCACAAGTGGGATTACTAGATTTGGCAGTCCTCGAGGGGATGCATCTTCCAATGGCCATTTTTCTCCAACATTTGGGGAAGAAAAGCGGAAGTTTTCCCCGGAGGCAAAATCTCAACAAGCTTTAGGTGAGTCCTGCTATGCCAGGTATGGCTTCCCCTCTCCCTTGATTGAGATATATGCACATAGAATGGCTTAAAACGGCTGGGCATGAAGAGTGTAATGCCGTACCACAGCAATTTTCAAGCTGATCTTATGTCATGTGGAAATAGCAGGCTACTGTCCTCTAATGCATGTATGGCTAAAATGCCGATAAATTATCGTTCTTTTATGTCTACCAAGTCTTATATGCTGTTATTTAAATTTAAATGGTCCATCTGTACTCTTTGTTTCGTGTCCACAGAGCCATCCGCTGCATCCATGCACCGTGTTGGGCATAAATTCCATGAGGTGTTTCAACTGAAACAAGGCCGCTTTTCAGATCTTTCTACCGCAAAAATTTCTGAAATGATGAAATCAAACAGTTTGGATGTTAGTTTTCATTTGAATAATCTCAATGGACATTCATGTTTTCTTATGCTAGAGTTTTCTCATTGATGTTTTCTTTCTGAGCCCTTGTTAATGACATTTCAACATCTCGTATGCAGAATTCACCAACTCAGTCGCTTTTGAGTGTTGTGAACGGAATATTGGATGAAAGCATTGAAAGAAAGAGTTACGAAATACCACATGTATGTAATAGGAGGATATATTGGAATAACATCATGCATTGAATATGTTTCAGTATCTATGTATCACTGCAACTGCAATTTGTACGTGCATGCATACATACACTTTTACCATTCCTTTTGTTGCACAGCGTGTGGCCTGTCTGTTGAGAAAAGTAGTGCAAGAGATTGAACGACGTATATCAACTCAAGCAGAGCACTTAAGAACTGTAAGAATCATTTCAGATTTCTTAATTTTGAATTGTTTCTCCTAGGATTGACTATACCAAAGGCAACATCTTTATGCTTCTCTGTCTTTAGCAAAATAATCTATTCAAAGCTCGTGAGGAGAAGTACCAGTCAAGGATCAGAGTTCTTGAAGCCCTTGCTTCTGGGACTGGTGAAGAAAGAGGGGTATGGAAAAAACAACTTATTCCAGACAATATGAGTGGTATAAAACTCTCCTAAACGTGGGTTTATACCAGTTATTCTGATATTAATACTTTTGCAGGCTGTTAAGGACCAGCTTCAACATTTAAAGGTATGTTTCACGGAGAAGAAAAAACAACTCTTAAGCTGTTTACACCTAAAAATGCTCACTGAAACTCTTGTATTTTGGACTCCTTTTGGAACTATTTTTCTGCTATCTTCTCACATACTATCTTCTCAATCTCTTTTGTGGTGGCATTCTTTTTGTTTACTACTTTATGCCGTTAGACGGAGTACATAAAATATATGCTATTTGTGGTTTGTTTCGGTTTTTCTTGCATTTTTGTTGGCTAGTTTAGGAATTTTTAGGATGAGAGAATTTCACTATCTAAATAAGAAAATAAAAAGAAATCGTTTCCTTGTACTTGCTGTGTGGATGTTCTTCATAATATTCATATAACGGGATTTTGTTTTCTGATGACAGATTGAGAAGTCCAAAATGGAAGGAGAGAAGAGACTTGAAGAGGAGCATGTAGCTAAGTTGATCATAGAGAGGGAGCAAAGAGACCTTGATCTTTCAACCTTGAAACAAGAGTTAGAATTAGTGAAAGAGACGCATGAACTACGTCACTTGCAAATGGAAGCAGAAGTCAAGGGTGCTAAAGCAGGCCTTGAGGAGAGATTAAAAGAGCTTGAACTCCTCTTGGAAGATTCCAGGAACCAAGTGAAAGTGCTTTCGGCATATTCAGAGTCAAAATCTAAGACGTTCAATGAGAAAGAGGACATTTTTAAGGGCTTTGTTGAGTTTCAATTTGGTGCACTACAGGTATAATATCACCACGTAGGGACTTTTAGCCTAGCATCATTCTAACTAAGAATCTGACGAAAGTTATAAAAATGTTCAGGGAATGAGGTTTTCCTGCAAGTCCATCAAGCAAGAAATTTTAGAAGTACAAAAAAGCTACACAGAGGAATTCAATGGCTTAGGTTGGTAGGTTTGCAGTATAGTTTATCAATTTATGCAATCAGTGATAGTTAGTTTTTTAATATTTAATTTTCATCTTGCTCAGAAGTGAAGTTAAAAGCATTAATCGATGCAACCGGGGACTATCACTTTGTCGTTGCTGAAAATAGGAGGATGTTCAATGAGCTTCAGGAATTAAAAGGTGCCACTGCTAGCATTTTCTGTACAAGGTTTACACGTGTGCAATCCTTGAGTATGTAACTCTTCCATTTTGTTTCACAGGAAACATCAGAGTTTATTGCCGTATAAGGCCATTTCTTCCAGGGCAGGTTGCAAAACAAACAGCGGTAGAATATATAGGTGAAAATGGAGAGGTGGCTGTTGTGAATCCCTCCAAACAAGGGAAAGACAGACGTCGCAATTTTAAGTTCAATAAGGTCTTTGGTCCAGATTCTACTCAAGGTTTTCGGCTCCACATCCTTTTCATTTGGATAGGGCTTACTTGAGCATGCTGTATTGTTTTTGTGCTTGTACATTCTGCTGGCATGGCTGTGGATGTAAATTCTTGTCATCCCTAACATGCTATCTGCCCTGGATATTGACAGCGGAGGTATATTCAGACACTCAACCATTGATACGCTCTGTACTGGATGGATTTAGCGTGTGTATATTTGCTTATGGACAAACTGGTTCAGGAAAAACTTACACAATGGTATGTCTTTTTGTTTAGTTTCATTTTCATGCAGTGATGCTCTCTTGCAATGCTGATTAAACTTGACCTTTTATTCCAGACTGGTCCAAATGGAGCATCTGAGGAGGATTGGGGGGTCAATTATCGGGCTCTAAATGACCTTTTCAAAATTTCGCTGAGTAGAGGAGGCTCCTTTAACTATGAGATTCAGGTTCAGATGGTTGAAATATATAACGAACAAGTGCACGACTTACTGTTGATCGATGGTTCTCAGAAAAAATATCCTTTTATATATATTAGGTGAGAGTGTTCTTATCAACATATCACCCAGATCGTTACCATTTAGTTTGGTTTTTATCTCTTTCATAAAATACATGAGGCACTCTCTCTCTGTCGTTGTTCTGTTTCCCTTGATTTGCACACCCTTGGGATTAAGTCTTCTGTCCAAACCAATGGTTTGGCAGTACCAGATGCTAGCATGCATCCTGTTACATCAACTTCAGACGTTTTGGAATTAATGGATATTGGACTAAGAAACAGAGCTGTTGGGGCTACTTCCATGAATGAAAGAAGCAGCCGCTCTCACAGGTACTTACAGTAAATATTTCATCCTATTCTTGCCTCCACGTTACGTTTATCTTAAATCTAGCTGTGATTGTGATTTGTTTCTGTAACACAGTGTTGTCAGTATCCATGTTCGTGGAAAGGATTTGCATTCTGGGGCTGCTTTACATGGTAATCTTCATTTGGTGGATCTAGCAGGCAGCGAAAGGGTAGATCGCTCTGAGGCAACTGGAGATAGACTTAGAGAAGCACAACATATAAACAGATCATTATCTGCCCTTGGGGATGTTATATTCGCTCTGGCACAAAAGAATTCTCACGTACCATACAGAAACAGCAAGCTCACTCAACTACTGCAAAGCTCTTTAGGTAGTTCTTTCTCATGTTCCCTTCTTGTCAAAAACTGGCTTTGAGTTATTTTCTAGTTCAATATGCTGGTAACCTTTCTCGAAAAGTTGGGGCAAACTAAACAATCTTTAGACTTGATGTAAATGTATATTTTCTTCCTTTTCCACGTTACAGGAGGTCAAGCAAAGACGCTTATGTTTGTACAGCTCAATCCTGATGTCATTTCATATTCAGAAACAATAAGCACTCTGAAGTTCGCAGAGAGGGTCTCTGGAGTTGAGCTAGGTGCAGCACGAAGCAGCAAGGAGGGCAGAGATGCTAGGGAATTAATGGACCAGGTTAGTTTCACTGATGTTATATAGAATATACTAGATTTTTTTTTTTGTCCGAGCAGTGCCGTTGAGTTGAATGGATTAACTTTGTTCCAATATAAAAATAATTTAAATAATAATAATCATACTAGAATTAATTTGTTAAATTTATAATTCAGAAAAAAATATAAAACTTAAACCTAAGAAAGCTAATTTTAAAGAATAAAACTAAAAAAAAAATTAAAAAACACGAAAAATAAAAACTCGAGTTCACTCTACTAACTTGTGACATAAGATTGGGAGAATTTTTTTTCAAAATAATATAAAAAAGGATCAAAGCTAAATAAATAAATAAAATATTGAAAAAAAACTCGAGTCATATTAGCTTAACCTAATAAATTTGCAACTTGAAATAACTTTATAGAAATAAAAAACATAAAAAATAAGAAATCTTAAGACCCAATAGCCCAACGTCAAAGGATAAAATTTTAAAAAAAATCTAAACCAACTTATGTTAACTTGACTAACCCGCGAGTTTGGATAACCTTAGAGGAAGAAAAGAAAAAAAATAGAAAGTTCAAAATTCAATAACCTAATATCAAAGAATAAAATTAAAAAATAACTAAATTTAAATCGGGTTAATCTTCAAAACTAGCAACTATAATTATGAGATTAAGATAATTTTAAAAAAACAAAAATAAAATCTTGAAGAAATTTTTAATCATTAAAAAAAACTAATAATAATCAAAATAATAAGGATCAAATTTAGTATAAAAACTAATGAAAAAAATAATAAGAGATTTAATAAAAAAATAAAAAATGATAAAAAAAGCAAGGATCCAAATTGAATAAAAAATAAATGTAATAAAATATCGAGGAAAAAATTGAAAGAAAAAACAAATGAAAAAATGAAAAAAAAAATAATTAAAATAATGAGGATAAAAATTGGATTAAAAAAAGAAATAAAATGTTAAGGGACTAATTGAAAAAAATATAATTAACCGAATGAAGACTCAATCTAGAAAGAAAAAATTAAAATAAAATGTTAAGGGATAAATTAAAAAAAAAACAAGAAAAGAATAAAACACAATAATAAAGAGAATGAGTGCTATATTTGATATAAAATCAAATCAAATAATATATATATATATATAAAAGAATTCAAAACAAAAAAAACCAGTCACATAAAAAAAGATTATAATTGCAAGACAAAATAAATGGAGAATGACCTTGATTTTTTTATAATTTGACATAAATATTAAACAGTAGAGAGAGAAAATAGAGGAAGGAGAAAATAAGTTAACTATTGCTCAGCCGTCTTGATTTGGGCTGTACACGTAACCTCATAAGCTTTGTCTCTGTTAGACGCTTTGATCGAACAACATGCTAGTTGTGAAATTTTGGTTAATGAATAATTCTTTCGCACCTCCTGAGGGGTGCGGTGCAAGTGACATTCACTCGTTAGTGCATGTCTTTATATATACCAATAGTTTTTTTTTTAGTTTTTTTTATAAATATATTAATTTGCTGCTAAACCAAATAACATATAATAAAAAAATAAGAAAATATTAAAATACTTTTTGACTCATCCTCAAGAACAATGAAGTAAGTGTACTACGTGTCAAAAACAGATTATGAAAAGACTTTGTTAGTTTTTTTTGTTTTTTTTATGTTTTTTAAGGGCATTTATATCATTTAACTGTATATTGAAATATAACCTATTAAATTGTTCCCAATTAATATGTGAATAAACTCTAGATCCCATGAAAAATATCATTCTACCCCAGTAATAGAAAAAATCTACAATGAATTGTCTCTTAATCTACCGTATATGACTGGGCTACCTCAGGTTTATTTAAGATTCCTTCATTGGATCAGGTTTCTGGATGGAAGTTAGGAACTCAATTCATTCAGTCATCATCCTTCATTTTACTTGTATTTTGATGGGAAGGCATGAGCTTACAGGCAAAATCAGTTTTCATCCATGCTTGGCAATAGATAGGGTTTCTGACGAAGAAGAAAATTGAGGCATAGAGAAAGAAAAGAGAAGGGGAAACCAAGAACAGCAATAAAAATGAAATATATGAAGTTAATAATCAATTATAACTGTCTCTCTAATGAATTCCTAAAATAAAATTAAACATAAAGTTTTTATTACTTCTGGGATTTTTTAAGGAACGATCTGGAACGAGTTCGGTTCTTCGGACGAGTGATTTTTTTCATTCTACACTATATTGTATAAAAAAATATCAATATTATGCAATAATATGCTGATTAACTGGTGAGAAACTTGGTTTAAATAGATTTCATGATTTCTTGGGTCACTTATCTTAAAAGGTGCCCAAAGAACTTTGAACTCCTGCGAAGAACATTCAGAAGTAATATTGTTCTCGAGATACAACATATAAATGTTTAGAAATTAATGGTTGAAGGAATTTTGTACCACAATAGCCTTATACTTCATTTATTTTTTAGTCTCTACGAGATTTGACTAGCATGCTCATTCCATTTAACAAGACTGTATATGTAGGTGGCATCTCTCAAAGACACAATTGCCAAAAAAGATGATGAAATTGAGCAGTTGGAATTACTTAAAGATGTCAAAAACGAGTATCCTGGCTCACTGAGGTATGGGAATTCCTCTGCAAGCGAAGATTTTTCAGGTGTTAATCCTCATAGAACCCAAAAACCATCGATCAGGAAAAGCATGGGAAATGAGACAGCTTCTTGTCAGGAAAGCAATCCAGAGCACAGTGACAGGCATTCTGAAGCTGGTTCCCAGCAATCTAAACTTTCTGAAAGGGACACAGGTCAGGTTATGTCATTTGCAGATGCAGAGATATTTCGATTTGGAGATGGAGACTGTGGGGATAGATTAAGTGACATTTATGATGATGCTCTTTCAGTGGGAGAAGAACCTGATGGCGAAACGGATCAAGGCACAAAGCCATCAAATAAATTGCGGAAGTGAGTAGCGTGCTTCTAGTGCTTTCTGTGCTTCCTTGAGATTTTCTTACATGATCATACATGCATATTAAAACATAAAATGTCCAGTCATCTTTTTCATCTCCCAAAAGAGAATCTATTGTTCTTTCGAAATGAAACAGAGGTGCTTCGCTGACAGTAAGAGAATGCTTTGAATGTGATAATTCTGCATGGAACAATTCAAAAAAAAAAAAGAGGATGGATGTTCTGGCATTTATCTGTAGGCTTTCCACAATCATAAGTAGACTGTAAAGATCGAAAAGCATCACACGTTCAGTTCAGTTACGTACACACATATGGAAACATGGGATTTTATGAACTTGGTTTTGTGCAGGAGTACTAGCATGGCATCAACTTCTCGACTCTTACAAAACCAAGCACAGGCCACATCAAGGGCAGCGACTGTGTCAACGGACTCCCCAAAAGTGTCAACAAGTAAGTAAAAATCAGGTAGTTATATAATAAAATGTGCAGAAATTTCTTGCATAGTGATTATACTCCATTTTTCTCCCTTAAATTTATCATAAATGGTTCTTTCAGGTATTAAGAAAACTGGCAATTCCAACTTAGTCAAGTCTTCAAAGCGATGGCAGTAAATTGAAAGTATTCATTGAGCCTTCAAGGATTATTTTCTTATACGTTGATTTCTTCATATCGGTTACTTCATTTCCTTATTTTTTATTCACTGACTTGCAGTGGTAGGTAGTGTTCATAATCATAGATACATGGAGGCTTCTATCCCCTCTACAAGTTATATTTTCTGCCTCCCATTTCTGATTCTTACAACGAAACAGTTTTGTACTTACCTCCAACCGAAATTCTCTGAAATATAAGTTCCTGCAACGAGACATTTGTATATTTGACGTGTCCGACTGTTCTATCATGATCAAGCTATTGTGCTGAATATATGATGCTGAAGGAAAATGGTGCAAGCAAAATTCATATGCATGATTGCTTGAGGATCATGTTTTGAAGTTTGTCTAGCTGAAGGTTAGGTCAGGTGTCTCAGGGATGGTCATCTTGGCACTAAATTGCCAGAAATGAATCTGGGGTTTCATTTCCAAATGGTTATGATGATGATCATGACTACCTTGCATAAAAATTCAAAGGAAACCTTGGAATACTTAAAAGTTACACTTCTTATGTTCTTCCTCGTAATTCTTGTCCAAAGGATGAGTAATTAAACTTATTTTCAGGTTAAATAAATAACTGGCCCCTTATTCTAAATTGAACTATTTCTCAACAGCTTTTGGAGAAATGCATTGTTGTGGTTTACAATGTTTAAGTTGGCTTGGGCCCATCAGGGAGGTAGAATATGCAACCAATTGTGTAATTTGTGATGTAAATGGGGCGGCAGAATGTGGATCACAAGTTCACTTCCTCTTAACCTTTCTCTCCCTTTTTATTTCCTTTCTTCCTTCGCAACACCACGTGTTTTCACGCTGAAGCAAATGCCTTCCATCCTTGTGTGGACCCAGGACTAGGCCAATTAGCCTGGCACCCCTTGAGCCTAGGCGTCATGGCCTAGGCCTAGTTTTGGGCATTTCTGGCCTCCCACACCAGGCACATGGCCCGGCACACATTAGGTTGAGGTGCCACGAACCTCGCTCTAGTCTTGGGCATTGTTTGGGCCTAGGCTGGTGGCCTGACCTAACACCTGATCCCGTGAGATTATTTCATAAAATCTAGGCTTTTTAGTCTGAATATAAAATGTTAAGAAACTCTAAGCATCCTACCGTGGAAGTTGGGTATTCCTTACATTTAATATAAGAAACTTGCCAAGCATGTCTGTACTCCACATACAAGAGTTTCACATGACTTCTTTTTCGTCTCATTAACACATATGTCAATTATATTTATTTTTTATTAATATTTAGATAAAATATATTTATTATTCATTAATATATATATATAAAATATTTATTACTTATTGATGTTATGAGAATGAAATAACTATTAACTTCCTCTTGTTCAAGCAAAATAATAATATTGAAAGATATAAATATCTCATGAACTATCTAGATAAAAAATTTATAATTTTGTTATTCTCAATATGTACACGTAACACCACCTTCTTATAGAATATTTATTTTTATATCAAAACAAGAACAAACAATCTTGTTTTTAAGATTTAATGTTCTTTTGCATATTTATTACACTTTCTCTCTATAAAAATACTAATTTAAATATTTGAGGATCTTTAAATTCATAAAAAAAATAATTATTTTACAAGTATTAAGATTTCTACATCACGTCATCACATTTCTTAGCTATGAAGAATAAATTAAATAGCAAGAACACTTTATTAAGCCCGTTATCTAACTACATAAAAACTTCATTCCCCAATATCTTGAATTTTAAAATATTATCAAATAATACCAGTTTTCTATTATGGTTTTTTAGCAATCTTCACTAGAAATGAAAATATTAAAACACTATAAGCCAGGTAAAATATAAGGCTATATACATTAGTAAAGAATAAGTAGGTTTGCTGCATTACTTGAGTATTAACAGTCTAAAACAGGAGACGCAAAAATGAAGTCAACAACTTCTTGTTGTAACAATTTAGAGTTCAGTGATGAGTTTTTGTTGCTATTCCTTTTTTTTGCTTGAAAAACCTTTTTTCAGTAAACTTCCAAAACTTCTGTCCTTAGTAATGTTGTTACTATTGCAATGAGAATGTATGGTATTGTTGTAGTTTTCAGCAACTCTTT